GGTAAAAATATAAATAATGATACCTAGAATACTCTTGGGTAAAGTGCTACAATGGTATATTATCTGTGCGCTTGTAGATTCCTTTCATTTATATATATCTATATATTCTTTCTAGTCACATTAATTATTTAAGTACTTCTTAGTGTCATTCTAGAAGTGGCACTAGGTAGTACCAACAAGCATTTCTGGCACCAACACAAGGGATAACAACTTAGTAAAAGATGCTAAGGAATGTCAATAACATAGGGTGACTACTTAAAATAAGTGACACGTTAATAAATACCAACATTGTGCATGGCCCGAAGGTGCAACCTATGGGCAGGCACGGCATGGATCCAATGACCTAGGCATGTCATGCCGGCCCGACCCTCATCGGGTCATGCCCATAGACGGGCCTGGGCCATGCCGTGCTAGGTGACCTATTTGTTCATCTATAGGAGGGAGTAAAACTGGAGTGACATAAAACCAGGGCTCAATGCGGCAGGCACAGGGAGGCCGACAAACTATCATGGGCAAACATAAGACGTTTTTCTGTCTTCATGACAGTAAGTAGAGATAGGCATTGGACAACTAATGGACAATTTGAGAGAGTATAATGCATTGGCGGCCTTTGAACTTGTCTGCCTATGTCATATAGGTTCCCAAACTCTCAAAATGCCCACCTAGCTACAAAAACTTGTCCCTGGCTGCCACACATGTCTGAACGGGCTTAGCCCTGACCCATCTATCGACGTGGTGATCCACGCTGGCAAGAGCGAGTTCTAGATTAAGAACCATCATCAACACTAGTGCTTCCACATTCTGGATTATTAACTGCACTCTGCTGCCCTAGAATAGTTGTATAAAAATTAGTTAGCTCCTCTCCATGCACCTTGTCAATGTGAACGACCTTAATAGGGCTTATCACCTTTGGTAGGTCACAGGCTGGATCTACAACAATATCATCCTAGTTCACACAAACAAAGGTGTCCTCATGGTCTAAATATACAACCAAAGTTTTAATCCTTCCACAGTAGAGCACATTGCATTGGTATCTGAATCCCCTACAAGGATCCTAAGCCCATCGGTTAGATCCTTCCTTGGTAGCAATAAATCTTCAGAACATGTGTCTTTGTGTAACCTAGGCTGTCCAACAAAGTCATCAAGCCAAAGGATGGATCAAGTATCAACTTCACAATTGCCAAACCAGCTGATCTTCCCATCCACATAACTCCTTAAGTGACCATACCCAACAAAAAAAACCACCATAGTGAAGCCCTACTGTGAACTTGGATAGAAATTCTATGTATAGTACTAGTTCATGACAAAGATAGTGCAAATCCATGCTACAATTCATCAAATTTGGACTCAAATTCTATGTACAGTACTAGTTCATGACAAAGATAATGCAAATTCATGCAACAATTGCTTCTTTCGTGCACTAAAAAAATAAGAACAACCATCAAGATTCTATCACCTGTGTAATCAACAACACCAACCACCCCACCCCCCAAAAAAAACACAAAACCCCAACAGATAAAGGCCAAAACGTAAACCCTAATATTCTTTCTATGTCGGAGGAGGGGCATCCAGCATCAACTACTACCACCAAATCTAATATATCAAAGCAAGTTACTTTGGACACCTCTCAGGTGTCCACGTCGCCCCGAATTCTCCTGGTCGTCCGATCCTCCATCGTGTGGCCCAGATTGCTTGTAGCCGCTTCTGTTGGAATTAGCTTCTGCCAACTCCTCGTTGCTCTGGGTTCATTTTGCTAGCTTCTGTGCCTTGTCATGCGAATCTAGTGGAACAAATATATACTCGACTCTAGCTTCTCCTTGCAGATTCTTCCCTCCTCTCTATCCCCATCGGTCTCTCCCTCTCTGTCTCCGACGCGAGCAGGGGCGACGGGCGCGAGCCGGCCGCGGCGGCGACGGTGGATGTCCTCCTCCTCCTCCTCCTCCTCCGCCCTCCCTTGCCTGCCTCTCACCTCCGTTTCTCCCTCCCCTTCCCTCCTGATGCTACGGCAGGCACGAGGCGGTGGCAGGTGCCAGGCGACGGCGCCCCTATAGGTGATGCACCACCATGGGAGGGGCTCAGCGGCCCCCTCCCTCTCCCCCATCCTCCGTGCGGCCGCCTCAACGCCTCCTCCCGCTGGGGAGCTTGTGCTCCTTTGCTTGATGAAACCCTAGGTGCCAGTGCGGCGGCGGCAACGGTGGTGAAGCTCGGCGACTGGATTTGACGGTGATTCACCCTCTTCTTCTCCTCCTTCGTCCCATGGCTCCTCCCCCATATCCTCTCTCCCTCACGTTTTTTTGGAGCGGCAGATCCTCACAATAATTTCTATGGCAATTGAGAACAGTAGATTCTAAAGCTTTTGCTGATTTTATTCCCTTTAGTATTTTATTTGCTATTATCTAAATTAAAATCTGCTTGTTGGTTCAAAATAATACCTCTAGGTTAGTAAAAATGGTTACATGTACAATCTTGATATATTACTGTGCATTGATTTGTCATCTCCTCGTAATGGATTGTGTCCATTCATTGAAAGAGCAGGAAGGCCAATGACCTTTTTATGCCATTTTTTTCCTTGTGTGATTTACGATACTGATTGGTTAGTGCATATGTCCATGTCCTCCTTCTAGGAGATTCCTGTTTAACTGAAACCAATGAGTTTCTAGAAAGAATGATGCTTTATTTTTAATGTCATGCCAGTTTTATCTCTATCTACACTGATGGACTCCATTTTCTTTGTTTCCTGATGTTTCCTGATGTGCATACCATTTTTGATCTAGACATTTTTACTAAGTGTAGTTACCTAATGCTTAAATCTAGATGAGTTCTTGGTTCTCACATTGGTATTACTAGCTACTTCTACAATTGTTATTTAGCCTGGTTCAGCAGGACCATGTCACAGAGAAGAAAGAAGAAGAAACCATATGCCTCAATGCATTTTAACTGATTTTAAGGTCAGCGGGCCTAAATCTTGGAATGTTCAAATTGCAATGTCTGTAAAGCTTAGGTTGCCATGTTTTTCTAAGGACATACAAGCATGGCTCTTACATGCATTTGATATATGTAGGTTGGTGTCCCCCCCTCCCCCAGCACGAAATGGTGCAGGTGCTCCGCGCAGAACCGCTGATCATCGTTTTGTCGGCTCGCAGGTTCGCTTCCTCTCTCGCTCCCCCTTTCTCCTTACCTCTCCTTGCCGGACCTGCCTCTCCCAATGCTCTCAGTCATCATGGAAGCGGTCTTCCTGACACCTTTGTGCTTTTCCTTTTTTCTTTGATTATCTTCAATTTGATATTCGATTATAGTTGCTCACGGTTTATTGATATACGATATGGCTCACGGTTTTTTCTAAATTTGATATACGATTATAGTTGCTCTTAATGTTAAAAAAAGGTCTGTGGCATTTTCATATCGTCTTGCCAAAAACGTGTCTGCTTAAATCTCTTAGGTATTTTTTCGTTCGGTTTTACGGTAACTGCTGAACAAATTTCTTATTGCATCTTGATTAGCCTTCCTAGTCAATTCTCATACACATCAGGTTAAGATTTGCGAATTTGGGACTGCTAGCAGATTGGTACACTTGTCTCTTTTAGTTTATTCCTGCTGAATATGTTCATGGGTTTAATAAAGTGAAATATCCATTTCAATTCCATGGCGAGCCTAACATATCGTACATTTGCTCACGGTATTATAGGGCACCTGAACTAATATTTGGAGCTACGGAGTATTACTGCTGCGATTGATATCTGCTCTGTTGGTTGTGTATTGGTTGGCCTTCTAATTGGTCTGGTGACACTGTCTTCAAGACCTTATGCATCGAAATAAAATGATGTAGTTTCAGACTATCTGAATTGGTGGCCTCTGAACAAAATGGTGGAAATCAAGGTACGTAACTTAGCGGTGTCATTTCTAGCTGTACCTTAACCTTATGCAGCAAAATAAAATGATAAACTTTCAAGTTATCTAAATTGGTGGCTTATGGACAAAATGGCGCTTTACAATTATGGCGGTGGCTTATGCCTTGACCCAATAGAAAATCACACGCTAACGGCTGCTTTTTCCTTGGAGGTATGCTAATTTTTAAATTGTTTCTCCGTTTGTCCTTTCTTTACTATCCTAAATGTGATTGATGGTATGTTTGCAAAATATTTATGGTCTGGGAAAGTAATATTTAAATCTAATATAGCTTTGGTTTTGCCTCTCAGTGCCGCTTCATTGAGGGCACCTTGAGAAAGTTTATGTCTCGGGATGATTAGTATAGTTGTAGCCGACCTTATTTGTGGAAGACGGGTAAATCTAGATTTTAACATCCCAACAACTTCAAGGTATAAACGCCGTTACCTGCACGGTTTGATTTTCGTTTAATCGCCGGCGTGCGCAAAGGCGCGCGTGATGGACTAGTAAATAACAAAGGAAAATAAGATTACACATTTGGGGCTTCAGGAACTCACTGTACGTTGGTGCAGGATCGCCCTTTTCTCCGCAGTCGTGGAGCCATCACTGACCACCGCCAACGCGGGAGACTTGGCTAGCACCAACCACCGCGTTCACCTCTGTCCTAATCTTTGGCCCTAACATGCTCCGGGCAATCACGATCTTCTCTGGTGAGAACGGTGAGAAAGATGAAGAGGTGAAGGAGGCGAGGCCGCAAACAAGAGCTTTTCCCAATATAAAATCCCGCAAGAACCCACTCCATGCGCATGGATGGCCATGTCGGCAGACGGGTCGGGGTTGAGCCTGTTTGGACACGTGTGGCAGCCAGAGACAAGTTTCAGTAGCTAGCTAGGTGAGCATTTTGAGAGTTTGGAGACCCCATGTGACACAGGCAAAAGTTTGAGAGCTGCAATTTACTCATTTAGAGAGGAACAAAATGTCGGCGGATAGCTGCAGTTTTCGTCTTATTCCCTTCAGATTCAATGCTGGACCGTGTATACGAAGGAACTCGGACAGAGGAATATCACATGGAGATCCACGTACCGAACGCACTAACTCGTGTTTCAATCCGACCGCTACCCGGAACGACGCTTGCTCGCCGTGCTCTGTTGCGGCGGAATGCTCTGCTCATTCCGGAAGTAGTCGGTCGGATCCACTACCGCTTTCACCGCGGCGAGCCTCTGGAAGTTTCCGGCGAAGTACTTCTCTCCCCATACCCTGCCGCTGTCAAACGTGCTGACGTCGTTGACCACCACGTTCTCGCCGATATCCAGGTCCCGGTAGTTCACGTACGTCTCCCTCGGGTTCTTGCTCACGTACTGCTCCATGCAGTCGTAGAAGCTGCTGATCCAGGTCATCGCCGCAGCGCCTTGTTCGTTGCCCGACGACCAGAACGTGATGTACTGGATGTTGTAGAGCACGCCGCTCCGGTGCGGGTACGGCGTCGCCCCGGCGGGGATGGTGCCGATGAACCCGCCGTGGGGCTCCAGGATGATCATCCCGGCACCACTCATCGTGAGCCAAGGGAAAATGTTGTTCCACGCTTCCCTGGGGATGGCACGCCGGACGTAGTCAGACTTGTTCTTGGTGAAGGTCCTCAGGCTTGTCTTCCGGTCGAGCAGCGCCTCCACCGGCGTGTAGCGGTTCCAGGAGTTGAAGAAGGCCGCCGACTGCAGCCATGTCATCTCGAGGCAGTCGGCGCTCGTCATGCCGAGCTCCGGGAAGGAGCTGTTCAGCGTTGGCACGAGGTCGCTGCAGGTGCCTAGGTACAAGGACTGGAACGTTGCTCGCTGTCCCTGGATGATGACCCTGATAGTGATGTCGCTGGGGAGGTCAGGCGCGACGTCTTGCCACTTAGTCAGGACGTCTATGGCTCCCTGGTCCACCGTCTTGAAGATGTTGAAGGCCGTCACCGTGGATGGGACCTTGACGAGGCTCACCTTCCACGACACCACGATGCCGAAGCTCTCGCCGCCGCCTCCCCGGATGGCCCAGAAGTGGTCCTCCCCCATGGCGTCCCTGTCGACGAGGTCGCCGCTGGCGTTGACCAGCTTGGCGTCGAGCACGTTGTCTATGGACAGGCCGAACTTGCGCATCATCATGCCGATTCCGCCGCCGCTGAAGTGCCCGCCCACGCCAATGGTCGGGCAGATGCCGCCCGGGAACGCCATCTCCGAGTTGTTCTTGGCGATGGTGTAGTAGAGCTCCCCAAGCGTGGCGCCGGAGTCGACCCATGCCGTGGGCACCGACCGCTCGTCGTCGGCGCTCACGGTGATGGCGCGGAGGTTGGACAGGTCGACGACGCCGAACACCTCGTCGGGCCGCTCGGACCGGTACGAGAGGCCCTCGTAGTCGTGCCCGCCGCTGCGCACGCGGAGGCGCACGCCGTTGGCGCGACCACACCGCACGGCAGCCTGCACGTGGGATACGTCGACGGGCGTGACGATGCAGAGCGGCCTCACCGTGGCGTTGCTGAACAGCCGGGGGTTCCGGACTGAGGACACCAGCACGTCGATGAAGTTGCTCGCACCCTGAGTGTAGATGAGCCCGCTCGGTATGTTCTCCGACAGGCATTGGAGGAAGCCATCGGAGTCGGAGGTAACTGAGGATACAGTGGGGAGGCAACAAGAGGAGAAGCAGCTAAGGATGAGCACTAGTGCTAGGCCTCCGAACACTGTCATCTTTGCTTCTTTCAATGACAATACAACAGTGTGCTTTTGTTCTTCATTACTTGTGCTCGAAAGCTTATTATATAGGAGTAGTACGAGTACTAGTTGGCTAGTTGATCACTTGATTTATACTTGTGTAGCTGGTGACTTGCAAGCTGCGTTCAGTAAGTTATGGCTCATCACTCTGGGAAGCGTGCCCGATTAGTTTTCGCCCTAGGTGGCGGTCAACTATTCCGACAGAGTTACATGCATGCATGCACGAAAACAACATCAAATCGTGGATCAGATAAGCAACATGTGAGCATCTGTCACTCACAAGCGCTTGGAACACATGGAAGGTCGGTATATTAATGAGATCTCGTTGATCTTTCAGATCTGATTCATAAACCGGAGCTAAACTAGAGCGCTCATGCAATTTGGATTGGCTGGAGTATTTAGTACTACTGTCAAGTGTCAACCACATTCAGGTTAATATTGTACTTCTATATTACGTACCTTAGCAGCCCGAAATATGGAACATGGCCATGATCCATGATTCCTCATTTCGGAAATGGGTTTCCATTATACTTGGCCAAACGGGCGGCCCGGCCAGGGCACGGCACGGGCACGAGCCAGCACGGCACGAGCAGACCCGATGATCTATCCGTGCCATGCCGTATCGCGTCACCGTGCCCAGACCTTGGCCCAGGCACAGCACTAAACACTCCAAGCCGTGCCGTGCCCAATGGCCCAATGGCACTCTCCCGCGCCACTGTTACTGCTGCCGCGCCGCCGCCCGCTGCTATGGCCTGCCGCTGCCGCCACTGCATAAGGACGGGACAACAAAGGAATGGGAGGGAGTCGGAACAGCAGACTGGAATGGGAGGGAGTCGCGAAGTCGCGACTACGAGAGAGAGGGGCACGGGTGGCGGCCGATTGGGATCTAGGAGCTAGGTTTTGGATTTTGTTTATATATGGCTTCATATGCATCCGACGGTTGCAGTTTACGTGAGGCCATCCAACAGAGTCAGAATAATCGTGCCGCTATCGTGCCAGACCATTAGTCGTGCCGTGCCCGTGCCGGCACTGGCACTATAATTTCCGTGCCCGTGCCATGCTAGTGTCGTGCTTTTCAAGGCCAGGCCCGTGCCGGCCCATCGTGCCTGGCCCATTTGGCCATCTATAGTTTCCATTCTGCATATAGTAAAAAACATTACAAAGTATGACTCCACGTTCCCATTCCTATTCAATGTTCCCGTTGCACTGTTATGAACCGCATTTTCACATAAATGGTCAAAATTCATTTCTAAAGTCGGGTTGCACACTTGCCTCCGCATGATGGTCACTGTAAATCGCAGTTTTCAGAGACGGGTCATTTGCCCATCTCTAGAAATGAATTTTGAAATTAAAAAAAGACTAGCTCGGCAAGCCCATGTGTAGGCACACCAAGCCCGCCCACTGCTGGATGCGCAGCCACAGCGCTGCACTGCCACAGGAAGAAGAGTGGGCTGCCGCCGTCACAATCTGTGTTCCGGATCAGGCCGCTAGTGTCGGCAAAAGGACCATTGAGCATGTAGCCACCAAGCCCGTCGTTGACCCCCTTGCCCCTATGAACGACAGAGAATACAGACAAGGGGTGGCTGTTGATGGTAGTTAATATTAATCACAAACCGTGAATACACCTTGCATAAATGACTAAAATGGATTACCAACATAGACTTTGGGGTTTAAACTAATAATTTTCATGAGTTTTGGTGAATCTGTGTTTTTAGTATGATTTAATTAGAAAACCGCCAATGATCTATTCATCAAAGAAAATCACGCTTATCCGCAATGGTACCTACTGTAACACCCCGGGTGTTACGAGCTTGCTTAGCACCGAGATTGAGGCCCAAGAGAAATTAGCAAAACAAGTTTCGAGTTTTAAAAAATTTTAAACACACATGAAATGATAAACATGCCTGTGCGACTCTCTTTTATGGTTTAGAGAAATCAAATAAATATCTAAGTTAATTTACTCAGTGCATAAATGTGCTAATGAAAATTCTAACAAGAAGTATAAAATAAGTAGTTTTAATTGTTTGGTACGAAAAACAATTTCTATAAACAAAAATAAAATATAACTTGTGTGTAGTTGTAACACCTCGGGTGTTTTAAATACTAAAACCTGTCATGTCATCATATGCATTGCACATCATTTTGTGTTAGTGAAAATTTTGATATGCATACACTAAAACAAGTTTACCTTTATGTTATATGTGTTGACTTGTATGGTTTGAATCAAGTTCAAAGCTTTTGTATTGGATTGGATTTCCGAAAACCCTAATTTCAGCATTTAATTTTACCCTGGAAAACCCCATTTCAAAATCTAAGCACATTTTGGGGTTGAGCTTAAAAGCAAAGTGTAGAGCTTGTCAAGGTGAACAAAGTTGGTTTTTGGAGTTTTCAAAGTTGTTTTATAAAATTTGAAGTAATTTGAAAAGGCGTAAATTCTCAAAGTGTCCCCTTTTGATTTCAAACTTGCATTTCAAAATGTAGACCGAATTTGGGTATGGTTATAAAAGAAAAGTTGTAGAACTTTGAATTTGGAACAACTTTTGTTTTTGGAGATTTTTGAGTTGCCACATAAATTTGGGAGTAATTTGGGATTCTAAGCGAGTGGCAATTCTGTAATTTCGGTGAACAATACCGTGGGCGACACCTCACAGCCGGCGACCTTCTTCTGGTTTCCAAGCGCGCTCGTGGCCATCTTCGGCTTCGCGCTGGTGAGGAGAAGGCTGCTGCGTGGCTTCTTCATCCTTCCTGGCCGCATTTTAAAGCATCCAACGTTGTCGTTCTCCTCCGCTTTCTTCCTCTGCTTTTCCCGTCGCCACCGTGCTACTCCGTCGAGCTCGCACCGTCGCCATAGTGCATACCAGCCTCGGCAAAGCCTGTCACAGCTCCACTTGTTCTTTGTGAACCCAGCTGAACCGCCCTTGTAGCTTGACTTCGCCGGGAAACGTCGCTCGGTGGATTTCTTCCTCGCGGCCGGCAGTGTCACCGGTGATCCCGCTTCACCGTGGCCGGAGCTCTACGGTTAGCCTCTGCCCTTGCAAAGTGTTGCTCCATCTTCTCCATGTTGCTGTGATGCTTTGTGCCTTGTTGCTTGATCATTTCGTCCACCACAGTCATCGGAACACCGCCGTCGACATCTGCTTCGCCGCCGTGTTTGCTGTGACCGACGACGAGCTTCTCCGTTGCTCCTCCGGTCCATCTTTCTGCTCGAGCATGTTTGGGGTGAGCTCCTGATGCTTCCTAGGCCTTTTGTTTAACTACTACTGACTTCGTTGCGTCAGCGTAGCGCAGCCGCTCCGCCGTGTTGTCCGCCATGGCCGGCGTCGAGTTCGGTTTGAGTTGTAATTGGTACAATTAGTGCCATCAATAGGTGCGTCTCGTCGTGGTGATCACGTTGGTACCCTCGCCGCCGCCGTTGATCTCACTGGCGGCGAGAAATCGCTGGTCAAAGCACGGTCGTCGTTGCTGTGCATGGGAGCACTGTGCTGACGAGTGGGGTCAATCTATCAGTGACCGGTTGTTTGAAAATGGAAATTTTTCTTTTTCAGAAATGAATGAATAGTATGAGTTTTTGTTATTTTTGTGTAGGAATAATTAGAGCTCCAAAAATTATGAAAATTTTTGTGTGACCTCTTTATGGCATGAACTATTTTAAGAAAAATATTAAATGTTGCTTTTCAGTACTTTTTGAATGTGATAAAAATTGCTCCATTAATTAATAAATGAGTTTTCCTGATTTTTCTAGGCTTAAATAATTATCAAAAAATTATGAAAATTGTTTTGCCACTTAGTTATCATATGATGAGTCTTCACAAAAATTTTGAGCTCATTTGGAGAAAGTTGATTTATTTCATAATTTTTAATTAAATAATTAATTCATAAAAGCAAATAGTAAACCTTAATGATTTAGGTTTTGTTTGAATTTTGGATTGAGTGATGACCTTGGGTCATTAGCATAAGATGATCCTTGGCACTTAAAATAAGTGTTTAAGTTTATGAAAAGGTTTAGTTAGTTGTTGGCTTATAACTGTACCGCGAAGAAAAGTTGTATTCAAGTTTTTAACTTTTGCATACATCATCAAGCATCATGTTTTATATCTCGCATCATGTTAAACATGGCATTGTTACTACGTGTAGTGAACGAAAGCGAGAACGTGGTAGTCAATCAAGTTGTGGAGGAAGTTAATCCGTCTGTTGAGGTCGAGCTTGATATCTGTGGAACGTCTCCGGAACCTGATTTTTTCGTCAATCAAGGCAAGCCCCAGATGCATTTAAACCTACCTTGTGTTTTACAAATTTATATCGCTTTTGCTTTCAAGTATTGCATTAAGTGATTAGGAGTTGAGTGAAAACCTAATTGGTGCATTACCAACCTTGTCTTTCCATATCAACCTTGTTACCAGTTTTACTTCGAGAATGTCTAGTTATGCTTAGCCATGCTTAGACAGATAAAGGTCGAGTGATTACCTGTCACCCGTGTGACATAAAAGGGTTTTTGGATATGGTTCGTTACTTATGTTGTCATGACATATGAGCATGTGGAGTAATAAATCTAGACCGGACGAACTCGGTGTGTGAGAGCCACATGACATGGATGTCTTGTGAGCGGGTTCTTTCCGCCTGTGTCGATTAAGAACCGTCCGTTGTTGAATTGCATGAGGTGAGACTTTGTAGTACTAGCCATATACTCCGGTAAGCCTTAACTTGGCTATTCTATTACGAGAATAGCTACTCGCGCACTGAGAGCGGAGAGATAGCGAGAATAGCGTGTACCCACGTGGCATTGGGTTGGATTGGTGGAGTACTGTATTCTCGGGTGGCGCGGACCCGTTCTTGTTTTAGAGGACCTGAGGGTAGGTTGGTATATGTAGGTCAGGGACCTGCATATGTCGTGTGGTCGGGAATCCCCAGCTGGGTTATTATCGGTTCGAATCGTCGTTGCTCCTTGGTTATGGAGACTCAACTCACTGTTCATCATC